TGAGGATTATGATGTCACTGTGGACATTGAACAGGGTGTTTTCCATTCCTGACTATCCCACATAGGTGTAGAAGACTCTGACTCTCCTCTCTCCCCAGTAACTACAATGAGGCCCCAGAGTGGAGAGGACCCCTCATTCAGGGCCTCAGCTGTGGGGTAATTATGAGACTAGGGCTGCTGCAATGCCCAGGCCCTTTGACCCTCTTCACTGTGGGGAGAGGAGTTTTTTGCCCTTTGAGGCAAACAGACTCTTACCCGATAGGTCCAGGGTTAAGGTGATTTACCAGGTGTAGGTAGGCTTCCCAGTGAGGTTCTCAGGAGAGGAAGGATCCAAAGTTAGAGGCTTCACCAAGTGACATCTGAAATACCACTGTCCACCAGAGATCTCCAGATCTTCAGCATCGCTGCCTCTTGCCCTCTCCAAGAAGCCCAAGCAGAGCAGGGAAATGTGCCTCTTTTGTGGGTCTGATCCCTGCTGCTTGGAAATTCCTTGAGTGTGTCAGAACTCAGCCCCGAGGACACCTATCCTGTCTTACGGTTGCAGGCAGAAGAAAATGGAGCTCAGTGAGAAGCTGGGTTGTCTTCATTTCGAAGCCGTTTGTAGGTCCTGGCTCTGTCAAGGAACTGTGATTTTGGCAAAGCCACTTGACTACTGTGGGCCTCACTTTCTTCATCTATACAATGAGGACATTGTATAACATAATTTTTAAAAATGTTAAAGTTTTGGAGACTTTCACAACATTTGAATAATTTTTTTAATTTTTTTAAATTTGTTCTTATTATACATAATAGTAGAATGTATTTTGACATGTATACACGGATTATAATTTCTCATTTTTTCTGGTGTTACATGATGTAGAATTATATTGGTTCCTTTAAATGAATTTTATAAATAAAAGTGGAATTATTCCTGTTGAAGGAGGATCCAGAACCTGTTCTTTTCTCCTTTATATCCTCTACTGTACCACTATAATGATGTCTCTACAAAATTCTATGTGTGCCAAGAATGTAGTTTGCTAAGTTAAATCCAAGTCCCAGGATCCAGGGTATAAGATCCTAGGACTCATTGACTTTGGTCAAGAAAGGTGCTGGTACAGCCATTTTTGTCCACCTGGCCTTCGTGTCCTCTGGGATGACCACTCATTTTGTGAGTATGTTGTGCCTTTGTAACAACCTCAGGCATCTCTGGATCAGGGATGCAAGATATGGCATGGTTGGGTGTATCTTGGAAGAGCTTCCACATCCTGTGGACATTGGGCTTCTACCTGCCAAATGCTGAAATGAACCAGTAATTCTTTTGGAGAGCACAGACTTTCATCATTGAGGAGGATTCAAGGATTATATATTTTTTTCTTTCTTTCAAATAACACTCCCACTGTTCAGGCTTAAATACCAAAACCGTATGGTTTGCAGAATCACTGCCAAAAAGTCAATCATCAGAGAAACTGCAAAGATAATAGCTCCTATTGATCAAATCAGAAGAATAGCTTTTGAGGTTTGCTCTCCTATGGAGGTTGAGAAAGATAAGGGCTGAAGTTTTCTAAAACATACTTGATTTGCTTAAATTGGATAAAACCACATATAAACACTTAAGTTCCTAGAGAACTGGTGACCAATTCATGAAAACCTCACAAAATGAAAAGATTGGCTTCGATTAGTGAAGCATGTGAAATACAGTCTTTTAAAGAGCATGGCGAATGCATTATTTCAAACACAGTGACATAGCAGCTAACTGAGTATGTCCATGTGGAGGATGGTTACTGTCTGCCTTGCTAGACAGAAAAGAAGTCACAAGTCCTCACTTGAAGCTGGGCGTTGTGCAGGATCTTTTTGGTCCATTAGAAAATTTAAAATTGGTTGCAATCCTGTGAGGTGACTTTTATTGTCTCCATTTTATAGATGAGAAAGTAGATATCAAAGATTTCAAATAACTGACTCACAATCACAAAATTCATAAGCAGAAGAAATTGCTATTTAAATGTAGGTGTGTATTTCCATTGAATATTCTGCTGTCTCCATTAACTTGCCTATTACATAGTGAAAGCAAGAGCTAGAGAGGCTACTAGTCTGATAGTAAATATGCTTGGAAATGGTTCATCTTTTGCCAGAATGAGAATGGTAGAGGAGCTCAGTCCACCAGTGGATCCTACAGAGTCAAGACTGGTGGCCATGAAATTAATGTAGTTCAAGTTGAGGTTGCTCAGTTTTTCTTACCTGAACTTCAGCCTTTCAGGAAAAAAAAAATTTTTAAACATCATTTTGTAAGACAGAATTATTGATATTAAAATTTATATTTTTACATAAAATAGCCAGCCTTTCTTTTAAGAATGGTTTCAGAAAATAATACTTTCTGGTTATCATTCATATTTTAAAATATTTTATGTTTTTATTATCATTTTATCTGAGAAAGCTGAACATATGGTTATCTAAAGCAATCAATCCTGAGGCTGAGAACAAAATTCCTCAGAATCAGCACAATCCATTAATGAGCTTGCAAATTGGAATTATCTTTTCCATTGCCCAAGAACTGAGTGGTAATTAGCGTCCAGGGACAGGTGGAGAACAATTTCACTGTTAGCATTTCCAAGAATCCAATCATTTGTCATCGGTCCCAAATTACATTCAATCAGCAGTTTCAAACTCGGGTTGGAAAAACCAAGTGACATATAGCTAAATTTCTATGAAGTTCATACTGAAAAATGAAACTTGTATTTCTGGCAGTGTAGCTGTGAACAGCAGTAAGACGAAGCTATGAAAATATTGAATGTAAATTCTGTGTGGGTCTGCCTGAATCCCACTGCTTTCTCACCCTGTGCCTCCTTGCCTGAAATGCCACTCCTTCTGCCATGCTTCTGTTCCCAAGCTCTGCTCCCTGAAATCTAGGTATCTGAGTGCTCCACGAACCTTTTTGGAAGACAAGTTACCATCCTCTGTGACACTGCAATCAAGGATTGACAGGCTTGAAGGAGCCAGAGCTGGTAGCAGCAGGATGGGAGTCAGGGTGGACTTGCAGTTGAGTCAGACATGGAGGGCCCCAAAATGTAACATCCCTTGCATGAAATCCCCATCCAAGGTCGGGGGCAGATAGAAACACTGCCTGCCACTGTGATTTTGTGTTAAATTTTTTATCGACTTGGGTCTAATTTTCTGTTTGGTTTGATGTTTTGAAATTTTATGAGATGTAAGATCCTACCATGCTGTCATCTGCCTGAAGGTCCCCCTCAATCACTCTGCTGTTTCTGGCTCAGGATGTAGAACAGGTGCCACCGTGGGTAGGGAGGGTCTGGATCATTTGTCCACTTTCTGTCCTACCTGTTTCTAGATGGGGAAACAGGAAACTAAAGTGGTCTGCGCAAACCCCACAACCCATTTATCTCTGTTGCGTGTGGCAGGTAGACACACTGGAAGTAGCCTCTGCAAGGTCTCAGTGGGTAAACATTTTGTCCCTGGCAACTTTCAGTCAGTGATAAAGATGTGTGCCTTCTATGATCATTTGGCAAATGGTTACCGTCAGTAAATAAGGAAAAGTAGAAAGCGCATTTATCTCTGTGAAAAAGTGAAGTCCAAGGTAAGATCAGAGAAAATGTCTAGTTTCATAGACTCAAGTACTAGACAGCTGTGTGGGCAGTACAATCAGACAGACCTGGATTTGAGTTCCAGTTCTTTCACTTACTCAAGTTCATCTTGTGTTCCAAACCAGACCCATTTTTAGTGGTTATCTAGAGAAACTCATTTCCTTACCTTGGCACTTTAAGTCAAGACAAATGAGAGCTAAACATTTGAACATTTGTGGTAACTACACTTAAAGGGTGATTTTCAAAACCACCATCAATTAGAACAAACATGTGTTGAAAAGACTACAGGAGATGCCAGGCCCAACAGGTAAAAAGAGCCATAAGAGCTGGTGTGGTGGTGTGTGCCTGTAATCCCAGTAGCTCGGGAGGCTGAGGCAGGAGGATAGTAAGCTCAAAGCCAGCCTCAGCCACTTAGTGAGGCCCTAAGCATTTTAGAAAAACCCTGTCTCAAAATAAAAAATCGGGCTGGGGATGTGGCTCAGTGGTTAAGCACCCCTGAGTTCAATCCCTGGTACACTTCGAGAAAAAAAAAAAGGTCCATAAGAGATTTATAATATTTGCACTGGACAGAAGGGCCTGCTTAGGTGCAGGGGAGTATTGACAGCATGTGTGCAATACTTCTGGTGTCCTTGGACCCTCTAAGACCCAGTCTAGCACCAATATTCTGTAATATGGTGAGTGTGTGTGTGTGTGTGTATGTGTGTACACAGACATAGCCTAAGGGAGGTTAGTGTAGTCCGTATTAAAATATATTAGTGGTTTAAATTTCAAAAACAACAACAAAATCATCATTTGTATATCACAGTCTATTATTGAAAAGTCTCTAAATCGTAATAGTATAGTATATCCTTTAGAGTATTGATTTGCATGTTTGTTTTAATTGATGGTGGTTTTGAAAATCACCTTTTAAGTGTAGTTACCACAAATGTTCAAATGTTTAGCTTTCATTTGTCTTGACTTAAAGTGCCAAAGTAAGGAAATGAATTTCTCTATTCATAGAGCAGCTACTAATTCCCAAGTGTGACTAATGGAGTCAATTGCAAGGACAACTTTTTCATATTTTCCGTAGGATGACTGTTGAATATATTAGTCTAAAACTGGTCTTCTAACAAGTAAAGAGTTCGTGTTTGATAATGCATGGTCACTACTGTTAGTTTGTTAACATAATCTTTTAAATTTAATTTTCAAGCTAGAACTCTAAAGGAACAGTTGTCACATCTGGCCTATGGCTCGTTCATTTGGATGGCCTCTAAGGTGCAGGCACCTCCATGAGGCCACTGGAGCAGCCACTCCAGTTCAGTTAGCGAGGGGACTGCTCCCTCCAAAGGCAGTCCCACTGTATTTGCATGATGCTTCTAACAGCCCATAAGTCACTGTATTTAATACTGTCCTTGTCTTTCTCCCCTCCCTTGTTTCTCTTTTCAGAAACAGAGTTGTCAGTCACTGCTGAGTTAGTGCCTACCTCACCATGGAACATTTCAAGTGAATTCGACAAAGGTACCTGGGGGGACACAGGGGAGGCCGGAAGAGAGGTGTGAAACTCCATTTTGAATCCTGGCATGGCTTGCTTTGCAATCTGCTGCTTTTCAGATCACTAGTAGAAGGTGGTGGCCAAAATAAATTCCCAGCTTACTTTGTGATCATTTAACATTTAATTACTTGGAATTCTATCATTTCTGGAGAGTTTTTTTTTTCTTTCCTTTCCCTTCTTCCTCTAAAATGTTCCACATGGTAAAAATGCTTCAAGATGTGAAATAGGCTTGTTTCTGACCTTCCTGACACTACATCTAGTGGATCTTATTTAAGGGATTTGATTCAGCCTGAGCCAGGATTGATCAGAGCTGTGTGCTGGGTGACCTTTTACAATGAGCATTTGATGTGTTTGCAGGGTTCAGAACAGAGTATTTGGAATGTTTGTAATTGCCTATGCATACAGATGGAAGCTTCCTATGTGCATGTGGGGAACAGGTTCCTGCTATGAAGTTCTTGTTTAGCATTAATTAAGCCTGGCCATATGCTAAGCATTGGCTACTCTATAAAGACCCCATGTCCTGCAGTGGTAAATCAGGATGTTTTCAACGCCCCCACAGTCTGGCTCACCCTGACTTTCCAGCCATATTTCCTCTTCGTCCCCCTTATGCCCCTTTGTGTATCTTCAGCCAAATTTCTCTTTCTTCCTGTATATCCTGTTCTTTCTCTCTGATTGCCTTTTCTTCTTTGCTAATACCCATCCTCTAACTTTTGCAAGCCAACAAATCAGTTTTCCTTTAATACTGAACATAAATTCTATATTATTCATAGGCTTATCTAGTCCCTCCACAGGAAGAGGCCTTTCCTTCTCTGGAATTCCCATAGTGCTTCTATCTGTTCTTCTCTTAACCTTGTCCATGTTATATATTATTAATTTAATTACTTGTCTATCTGTCCCATAAGCCTGGAAGTTCCTTGGAGGTAGGATTTCAATCTTGCTTTTCTTTGTGCTTTCTTTCTTCCTCTTATTCATCTCAAAATCTCCCACAGACTCTTATTCATAGGAAATCTTCTTCAATAAAGGTTTGTGGATTGATGAGTCCACACCTTATCTAAAGAGGTGCTACACCCATACTTATGTGTACAAATACATTCAGCAAGTGGCTCAGTGGTATGGCACTTGCCTAGCTTATATGAGGCACTGGGTTTGATTCTCAGCACCACATGTAAATAAATTAAATAAAGGTCTATCACCTTTAATATATATATATATATATATATATATATATTGACCCATTAATTAAAAAAATATTCAGCAAGCTTACTGAGTTTCTAACTTACTTCAGGCACAGATTCTAAGTTCTAAGATTACAAAGGGAAAAGGAGGTCAAAAGTCATTGTCACAGTAGCCTTTTGTACATATGCTCTTGGAATTCTATTTCCTCTGAGGAGCAATTATTTTATGAAACTATATTAGATGCAGTTTATTGCTGGCTACAGTTTATGAGGCATTTTGAATGGCAGGATGGATGGAAATGTCTTTTACCTTAAGCCGAAGAAAGTTTTCATGATTTTTAATTTGATCTGGATATTCTGTTGCTAATTAAGGATTGAAACAGGGATTGGGTGATATGTCTCTCCATCTTGGGCACCGAGTACAATGAATGGAGAAAAGGAAATAAAGGGCACTCAGGTTTAGCGTAGTGCCTGTTCTGTGCCAGGTGTCGTGCAAGGTACTTTCACTGGGTGAACTTATTTTGCAAGCTCCTTCTTAGAACCAACAGAAAAATTGTATCACTGCATGTTATTGATCTCATTCCAGTTATGGATACAGAAGGGCATTGGGGGTATTGACTTGTGCTAAGAAAGGCAGCACAGCTTCAGGTTAAGAACTCCGCCAGCCAGACCTGGAATTTCTACCAAACCAGCACTGAAATCCACAGTTTGTGGCCTTCAAGAAGGAGGCTGTGCAATGGTGGTGACCCAGCTGTCCAGAGGGCAGATGAAGGCAGGACTCAGACTCCTTCCTTTGCACAGCACAGCTTTCCAGAGAGCTTGGGAAACTTCCCAGGGATTCTTGGTGTCATCTTTTTCTAGAAGAGAATTGTAATATGGCCTTTAATTCTCATTTCCAATCAGAGAGAAAGCTGATTAATTAACCTACTTATTCCTGCTCAGATCCTTATTGATTCCTATTCCAGCCAGAGTCTTGTTTGAAGAATTAGAATGTATAGTTTAATGAGAAAAAGGTTCCTGTCTTCCATGACCTCAGAACCTCATGGGAAGGACTAAGACTGAGATCTAAATGCATAATCTAAGTCTTCTGGTCATCTTGACAGATTGAGCTTTGAGGGACATTTTCTCCAATCTCAGAGAGATGCTGCTAGAAATAAATAGCAACATCCATTTTCAGGCTGGTATACAAAAGAAAATGCCCCAGGTTCTAGAAATGAAGAACAAGCTCAATGCTAAAGCAGCAATATGTGAGAAGGAACTAAGTAAAAATTCATATGAAAATACAGGCAGTATTATCCTTCATAAGGGCTGGAGTGTCTGCATCCCATGGTGATTAGAATCAAGGCACTGGGGAAATAAACTCCTTTATTAGGCTGTGAGTGAGGAATGACTGGCTTGAGTCTGAAATAAGATGAATTCTGGTGAGAATGTGGTATGGCATTTATCCCCCATCCTGGGCCACTGAAATCACCCATGAGAAATCAAAGCCCCATCCTTCCCAACTCATAAGTGTGGGTTTGGGATTCTTCTTGTGCTATACAAGCCACAAACCAAGAAGATAACATAAAAACTTGGCCTAGAGTTGGTTAAGACCTTGATAATCACAAACCTAAACCATAAAAATGTCTAAACATTCCAGGTGTGAGGGTCTCCCACCAAAAAAAAAAAAAATACAAAAAAAAAAAAAGAACAAACTCCTGTTGATGTTAAGTTTACTTTCAAAAATTACAGGGCATGCAAGAGAGTGAGGGAAAGCCACCATTAGCAACAGTCAGTAGACAAGAAATGGAAATGTCCAAACATAGACACTAAACATGACAGACCAATTTGAAAGAGTATATATTTTAAAATGTGTCATGGTGAAAGTGGAAATAGAAACCACAGAGCAAATACAGGATAACAGGACAGAGAAGTAAAAAGGACAAAAATTTTAGAATTGAAAAATAAGAGTCATGGAAATTAAAACTTCATGAGTTAAACAGTGAGTGAATTCAGCTAAAGAGAAAAATAGTAAATTGGAAGATAGATTTGAGATAATATGGGATTTTAGAGAATAGACTCAAACCAAGGTGACTGACTAGGTTTGAATCCTGACACTACTATTTGTTTGCTGTGTTATTTTTGGCAAGTGGTTCAACCTATTTGTGCTGTATTCATATCAGTTGCAATATGGGCTAATAAAAGTCCCTGCCACACAAAGCTGTGAAAATTCATCTGGCTAGCAAATCCGATAAGCTAATTGGAGAATAAGAAGTGACAGCCACTTTTGATAAATATGGTTTTACTTTGGGCTTTGTAAAAAAATCATGGGTTCTTAGGCAGTTTGGCAAGATAGGCATATGCTAGGGCTGGGGTAGACTTCAGATCTTGTTCAATCATCCTGAGTTTGCAGCTGGCCTTCCACACATGAGTGCTCACCCATACAAGTGACCCACTTCCTAGTTTAGCAAACAAGGTTCTCCATGATCTTACCTCATCCTTTGTCCAAGTGGTTTATACTCTGTTTCAACAACCTATGTCTAAATTCCCTATCCCTACAATCTCTTTCCAGGCTCTATGCCTCCATTCATGCAGTTTCCTCTGACTGGACTGTCCATAACCCTGTTCTTTACTTCACTAGCTCCTTCTTTACTTAAGGGTCACTTTATGTATGTCTTAGCACCTTCCCTCCACAGTCCCCTTTACGGACATATGACCAAACAAAATAAGCAATGTACCTGCCTCCATGGACCTTCATGAGGGAGAAACAGAAAATGAACAAATTCATTCATCAATCCACTGTGCCTGAAAATATGGGGTACCATATTACTGCACATCTGTCTTAATCAGAATCCTTTCCATTCTGTATTAAAATTATTCCATGTTGGTCTGGGGTTGTGGCTCAGTGGTAGAGTGATCGCCTCGCATGTGTGAGGCACTGGGTTGATCCTCAGCACCACATAAAAATAAATAAATAAAATAAAGGTATTGTGTCCATCTATAACTAAAAAAAGATTTAAAAAAATATCTATGTTATGCCTGCCTGTTCAAAGACTTCTCTATTGCTGTGTTATTAGCACCTCACACAATGCCTGGCATATAGTAACAATCATTTGGGTTCCAGTGCCAGCTCATTCATAGCTGCCATGTGTCACTCCTCCTGGGTGTGAGGTACTTGCTAAGAAGTGACAGCTACTTTTGTCATGTGCATCATTTGAATCACACCACCCTGTGCAGTAGAACAAATAAACAACTAAGGTTCATGGGGTGAGTGGATTGGCTGAAGGCCATGGGTAGTAAGTCGTAGCACCTAGATTCCCATCATGGCCTGCAGGCCAACTCCAGGGATCCATGTCCAACACAACAGCTTGCATTCACCTGGAGAAGCAGTCAAACAAAATCCATTGCATGACAGAGTTTAATGCTTTCCTCTTCATCCAGCTGCTGGGTTTCTTCCATCCACCCCACCCTGGCACCCCAGCCTCGCTCAGGTCCTTGGTTTCTGTTCAGTCAGTGGTGTTCAACAGTTACCTGCTTATTCTTTTCAATAGGAAATGAAATTCAAGAGAAATAAGGCTGCCCCAGGGAAGAGCCCTTGAAAGCTATTACTGATAGGTCATGGGGGCAATTTCTGAAACAAATTCTTCAGAAGCAAGTACCTCCCAAAATAAATCAGTCTCCTGGAGCCCTGCCTCAGTTTCACCATGGGGTGCTGCAATGGGTACCATAGGGGCCTCTTTCCCTTCCTTCATGTTCAGTCATGAGAAGTCTCAGAGGTTCTCTATAGAAAGTCAAATGTTTCTTTTGGAGAA